TTATAATTTACAATTGGTCGAATGTCAGTTTTCCTGACTCACGAACCGGTCTTCGAGTTTTTCTCCAGCGGGTTGATTTTCGATCGAAATTTCAGTGGCCAGCAAAAATGTAAAATTTAAGATGCATTTTTATGCTTGATGAGAATAGTTTTATTCGTCGTGCTTCTTTAAAAATTTTCATTGAAATCCTACGTAAAGGATGATTTCTATCGTTTCCCGTTTTCGATCTTTTCGTCGAGATTTTTTGAAAGTTTCCGAAGTCGCCGACCTTATTATTAAGATCAATCCGCGTTTCAATTAAATTCACGTGTTTCAGTTTAATTAAGCGATGACATTTATGATTGCGAGAGCACGTGAGCACATCTCGTATATTATATTTCAGAAAATGAAACGCGTGTAATTGTAACATCATCCAATTTCACAATACAGTGAGTAACAGTGAAATTTCTGACTATAACGCGTAGATTGGCTTTATGTTTTACTGGCGGGCCGAGACTCTCGTTAGCCGGTTGATGAATTCGCCGACGTAATTTCGTCCACGTACATGGAGAAGCCGGAAGCAAGCATATTTTGCAACCACGCAAACCACGCAAACATAAATAAGGAGCCGCAGGTTTCTCATTCGACTTAACACGCTCGCTCGAGAAAAAGAAATACACGCGCCAATCTGACCCGGCTTTACCTAATTGAATCCGAAGAATGCGAGCAACTCGCCTACTCGCGTCCTTATGTTCGTTAAAACATAGTATCAAAGCTAATTCCTTTCGTATCTTAACAAAACGTAATCTTGCTTTTTCTGTGATCGAGAACGGGAGAAATTCACGATTCGATGATATTTTGTTAAGTAATTTCTGGTTGCTTTGGAATGAATTGTGATCACTGTTTCTAATTAAATGGCCTCCTTTTGAATTAAGTTATTTACTTGTTTTCAATAATCATCTACTCTCGCCACACGCTGCAGATTATAAATCTGAAATCGACGTCTTTTCCTTTTCGTTCTTAATTGCATCTTTTGTACAATCTCGCCTTTGTACACACACACAGACGTTGATACCGTGCGTATCTCGACCCAAAGCGAAAGAGAAGAAGAAAAAAGCGTGGATGTGTGTGGAAAGAAATTACCGTGCAGATGGAAAGGGAGTGGCACAAAGACTGTTACAGTGCTGTATGCTTCAATTTCGCCAGCCAGTGTCGAAGCTATTTATTCAACGCATACATTACGCTTATTGCGCTGTATGAAAATCTATGTTACACGTAATCGCGAAACACGGCGAAAGATTGAACCGCCGCACGAATACGTATCTCCTTTTTAAATCAAGAATTTTCTATCGAAAGTTCTCCATCCAAGGATTAGAAGGCTGATGAGAAAGGACTCTAGTTTATTTTGAAAAATCAAATTAATACTGCCCCGCCAGAGCAGTTTAAATATCACGTTCCCATGTAATTCAAAGGTTTAAATTTAAAGAAAAAAAAAAAAAAATAAATGTCGAACTCGCTGAAATATTTCAGCATTCGCCAAGTGAAACGTCTGAGCTTATCGTTGCATTAGAGTACATTTGCGAGATTAAATATTTAAGGCGTCGTCGGGGAATCGAAGGGGCATAGAAAGCAGCAGAGAATAAAAGATGATGCTCGTCTGAGAATATAGTTCAGAGGGCATCGACTGTCTGTGTTATCGCAAGCAAAAACTTAGGGCAATTGGACCCGAGACTGGTCCTTTCCCACCGTCTTGGAAATATTCGACAAATATATAGGGAAGTTGCGAGGGAGGAAACGAATCCCGAAGGTCTACGTTCTCGGAGAAAATACTTTGTCCACGTTTCACTCTCTTGGTGATTTTTCTCCAGTTCACTTTATGCCATCCCCTTTTTATTCTTAACTTTATTATAAACCTAGAACAACCTCTGAATAGTTGTTATGCATTCGTCAATTATTCTCCAAAAATTCCAAAAGATTCGGAATTATTTACCAACAATCATTGAAAGACAGACAAACGTTAAATAACATCTATTCCAAGAAGACCCCCCCCTCCTAAAAAAAAAGAAAAAAAAAACTAAAAGAATTATACAGTAGATTACCTTATCGCCTGTCTGTAAGAAGCCGCATCCCCTTATGTTGTCGATCGTTCATTCTACATTTATTTCCCTCTTGTTTCTCGAGAACCACGCTCGTGGACAATGTTATCAAGCTGTCCCTGGAGATTGAGTTTGAACCGAACGTGTTCCAGTGACCATCGATGGCTCGTCGTTCAAGGGATTCTTCCTGCAGGCACGTGACCTCGACAGAGACAGTTGGATCGGTTCCTGGGCGCAAACCGATAACACCAACACCCATCCAGAGTGCAGCGCCGTGACGCACGCCGATCCTTATGTGAAACAGCACGCCACCCTTATCTGGAATGCGCCACCGAACGCGCGTGGACGCGTGTACTTCACGTGAGTGCCAATTTCACTCGTTCTTCGGGATAAGATAAGAAGATAAACCGCAATAGCGCGGCTTGCCTTCCAAATCGGATGCTCTGCTACAGTTTCACATAAGACAATCGCCGAGAGTTATGTCAGTAGTCGACTTCCCAGGCGAGGGAATTGTCGCAGTGGTATATTATAATATTTATATGTTTCTGGAACCTTTTTTTTTTTT